ATGGTCTGTGCCTCAAAGCTTAGAGGAAAGGGATCTTTCCAAATGGTGTTTTGTACCTTCTGGCTTCCCAGAGAATGTCATGGAATGGTTTGGGTTGGAAGAAACCTTAAAACCCATCCAGTCCCACCCCCTGCCATGGGCAGGGACACCTCCCACTAGCCCAGGTTGCTCCAGCCTGGCCTTGGACACTTCCAGGGATGGGGCAGCCACAGCTTCTCTGGGCAACCTGTGCCAGTGTTTTACCACCTTCATCCTAAAAAACGTATTCAATCTAAATTGACCCTCTTTTAATTTAGTTGAACCTCATGAGTTGTGGTTTTAAACATGGAACTACTTGTATTTTGAAGGCTAAAACCAATCTTCAGCATTTTTCCACATTTCCCACTCAAAGACAGGGTGATTTTGCTCAGACTTCTTCCCTTGGTGCCTTGGAAAGCTGGGAAATGTATTTTTATTCAGAGGTTGTAGAGCTAAAAATCGCTGTGCCCACAAGAAGAGAAACCCTAAAACTTCAAGCTGCCTAAAACACACATCGAAATAATCCCTGAGCAGTTCAGTAAGAACATCAACACAGACATTTTTGAACAAGTAATTCAACAAAAGGCCTGAAAAATAACCTGGAATGTGTCCAGATGGCAGCAAGTCTTTAGTGTAGCAATTTAAAATCTGTAATTTTGAAAGGAGGGCTGAGGGAGGAAGAGTTAAGTTCTGTCTCCTTCAGGTTAGTTTAAATTCCTAGAAAAGCATCAATAAATGAAAAAGTGTTAAGACAAACCACTTAACACCAGTTTGGTGTCATTTTTTGGCTTCTCTTTTTGCTTTTCCAGGTTAAAATTAAAACTGAGACATTTTGGTTCAGATGCTGCGGCAAATGTTTGCATTAAGCACTAAAAACACTTGTAAATTATGTTTCTCTGCTGTCTAACATCCTGCTAAAAATATTTGTATAGTAATAAGTGATATTATGGACATTTAAAAGAGTTGGGCATTGGGATAACACTCCATGAGCTTTCCCAAGGAAAAGCTTTCGTTAGGATTGTTCCTGGACTGTTGTTCCTTTGGCCTTTCCTTTCTGTAGGATATTTCAGATGTTTCCACCAGTGGAACAAGCAGATATTGGGGATTTATTTTATTTTTTAAATCCCCTTTAAGGACTAAATATAGAACGAAATACCAAACTCCAGGAGCAATTTGTTCTGGAGAGAATTAAGATGCTGCTGGTGAAGGAACAGTTCTAACTTAAATTAATGAGAAGGGCTTTGACATTTAAAGAATTTGGACAATTAAGGTGATATTTAACTGCTGTAGATGATTTTTTTCAGCTTTCCACTTTGTTTTCTTGTCACGCTTGAAGTATCAGGGGGAAAAAAGGGGGTTGACACAGCTTGGGAAGAAGTAGTGAATGAAAGAATGAAATTCCAGATTTTCTGGAAGTGGAATCATCTCGTGGTAGGAAGGAATACCCCATGTCCAGGAAGGAGAAGCAGCATGATTAGCAGTGCAGCTTTACAGGGGATTTCCACATGTTTCTGGGGAGTTTTCCAATTGATGCTGCAGGACCAGGGAAACCTGTTCAGCTCTCATTGAACCCTGGTAAAGGCAGTGCAGATAAACAGTCCTGGAATCGTTTTGATCCTTTTGGAAAGCACCAGGACCCGCTGGAGAAGTCCCTGTGCTGCTGTTGTGTGGGTTGTTTGCCTTTCCATTTGTGCTGCAGCAGCTCTTTAGTCCCAGTGTTGTTGCCTGAAGCCCTCTGAGCAAAATAATTGTGTTTTGTCCACAGCTTGTCATGGAAATGGGACCACGTCACATCCTGTGGGATCCCTGCCTGGAGCCCCTGCTGAGCAGGGCTCATTCCCATTAAATCATGACATTTTAGTCAATCCAGCTCTAGTGAATAAAAGATGACTTGAAATAATCATAACTATCTCAGAGTTTAATCCTGAGACTAAAGTGTATTCCAGAGCTGGAGTCCTCTCACCACTCGGGTTTTCTGCTCCCTTCTGCCTGGCAAAATGCTGAGAAGAGGTTGGCAAAAAAGCACTAAGTCTGTTCCAAGTTACTCTTCTTGTGAGGGAAAACATCCATGGGATCCATAAAGTTGTCTGCTGAATTTTGGGTCTGTGTTTGAGTGAGTCAGGCTCCCTGAGCTTGCTGAAGTCAGGTCAGATCTGACTGATTTCAGAGAAGCAGCTGAGACCATCAGGGAAGTAAAAACCAAAAAAAGTGAAAGTAAACCAAAGCAAAGCTCTGTTTTACATAAGCAGTGTAAATAATAGATATAAATATATATATATATATATATATAAATAAGAATTTATATATAATAAAACTATTACTTTTCCTTGCTGCTCGTGGAGAGCCTTAATTTGCAAGTGTTGAATGGTACAACTGGTGTCTGCACTTCCATGGCATCAGTTTAATCAGGAACAACCTCATTCCTCCCAGAGAAATCAAGTCAAGAGAGAGATATTAAACCCTTGTGGGGTGTTTGCCTGCCAGAAGAGGACTTGGAAAACAGAGTAATCCCCTTTAGAAAACAAAATCATGGCAGAAAGCTGCTTGGGAGAAAGGGAAGGGATCAAAGTGATGCAAGAGATTGAAAACACCAAAATGAGACGGAGCACTGAATTTGTCTGGGTGATAATCCCAAAACTCAGGGTTGCATCAGCCAGTGCCTGTCAGGATTTCTGCAATTAATAATAGGTTTGGGGGGACCTGGTTGTCATCAGCACCTCAGAATTATTACAGATAAAAGCCTTAGGGCTGCTTTGAAAGGCATTAATATGTCTTTTGAAAAGCTGTCTATTTTCTCTGACTGATCTTTTCCTCTGGGACATGTTTCTTTTCTGTCAGGAATTGGTTTTTGTTAGGGTTACAGCAAATATTTTTTTTTGTTTCCTGCCCCAGTATCTGTCCAACTGACTTTATTAGAAAACCCCAAGCCATAGACTGGAGGGAAGGTCTGGCAATAGGGAACAGCAAGTGGGAGCTGCAGCTCTGGGAGACTGGAACTGGAGTGAAACTGGGCTGGTTTTCCATGGTCTGAGTTCAGCAGAATTTCATTGGACATGTGGATTCCTTGGGTGATTGATGGACACGATTCCATGTCCCATCCCTCCATCTGCTGAGCAGGTTTGCCAGCAGCTGGAATGCCCAGAAATGTGGCATATTTATGGGTTTTCAGCACAGCGATACTGTGTGTGTGGGGGGACCTTAAAACTCATCCAGTGCCACCCCCTGCCACGGGCAGGGACACCTTCCACTATCCCAGGTTGTTCCAACCTGGCCTTGGACACTTCCAGGGATGGGGCAGACACACCTTCCCTGGGCAACCTGTGCCAGGGCCTCACCACCCTCACAGCCAAGAATTCCTTCCCACTATCCCATCCAACCCTGCCCTCTGGCAGTGGGAAGCGATTCCCTGTGTCCTGTCCCTCCATCCCTTGTCCCCAGTCCCTCTCCAGCTCTTCGGGAGCCCCTTCAGCTGCTCAGAGGTCTCTGTGGAGACTCCAGGGGAACATTGTGCACGGACTGATGTTCCTGCCTCTCCACAAATTCAATTTTGTGTTTAAATCCCCTTATATCAAGCCTGTTAAACGTGATCATTGTGCACCTTCCTGGAAGCAAGGAGCAAAAATAGCTTTATTTATCCCTCTTCTGCCTTTTTTTTTTTTGCATCTTTAATTTTGGCACAGCTTGTCCTCAGCTGCCAATGAGCTTTTTTTGGTGTTTGTGGATGTTTGTTCAGCATCTTGAGGCAGTGGAGTCAAATGCAGAAGGGATGGAAACATGAAAATAGCAGCAGGTGGAGGTATCTGATAAAGCTCTGAGCCTCAGCACAAATTGCTCTGCCAGAGTTAAAGGAAATGTTATTTTTCCTTTTATCTGTTTGGTGTTTTTTTTTTTAACAGCTTCCTAATGCAATTTGTGCATCTTTTTGGAAAAATGACCAAAAAAAGAAAAGGAAACACGAGAAATTGTAGTGACAGGCGTAGATTTAACCGTGAAAAAAAATTGCTGACTGTGTGACCAATATGTTCAGATATTTCATGTTCCATGAGGAGATGGAACTTGAAAATGACCCTTAACTGAGGGAAAAGAGCAGTGGAAATCAGGGAAAGTGTGGAAACTCGGAATGGGAAGTAAGAACTCCCAGCAATTGGACCTGTTAGGGTAAAATCCATCTTTAACACCAAAGTTGGGTCCCCAGAGCAGTTCAGAGCAGCTGGAGCTAGACTCTTTGGGGAAAGACTTTTCCCAAATATCCAAACCTGAACCTCCCCTGGCACAACTTGAGGCTGTCCTTTCCCAGTTTTCCAGCCGCTCTGCCCCGAGCCTGGAGCATTCCATGGAATTGTGGTGACCCAGCAGTCGGGAATCCTGCTCAGTGTCTGTAAACCCACTGCGGAATTCCAGGAGTTCCATGATGTACATCATATTTTCCCACTGAAGGGACCCAATTCCAAGGAGTAAATGGGATTAGGAGCCTGTGCCAGCAGTTTCCCCTCCCTGTGTGGTTACAGGTTAAATTTTGCTGCTTTGTGACCTTGAACTCAAAAAGGTTGTTATTGGTTTTCTGAGGCCCCACGGAGTGAAAGGCAGAGACTGAAGGGCACAATTAACATTAATAATTAAAGATGAAGTGCATTTGTCAGCCTCTTGTCTCCTGGAATCCTCTGAGGAACGGGCTGATCCTGTGAGCAACAGCCTGGGATGATTCCAAGCTGGGAATCTGAGCTGGGGCTCATCAAAGATAAGGAGATTTCATCGCTTCTGAGAACCCCTCGTAAAATAAAAATTGGGATTCTTTTAGCTGGGACAAATCGAGCCCTTTGCCTTGCAATATTCCTGCCTCTGATCCTGCCCTTGTTTTTACTGGAGCTGTGGATTGATGGCTTCCTCAGATGTACATTTTCATTTGTCTGACACGAGAGCGAAAATGGTATTTTAATTATTTCTGATTTTTACCTTTTTTTTTTTTCTCCTTCTTTTAACAGAGCATCCAGAAGCTGGCCAGTCAGTACTTAAAGAAGGACTGGCTTGGGATAAAAGCTGATGAACGAAGTGATTATAGGTAATTTACCAGTTGGATATCCCAATTTGTGGCATTATTTTACTTAACAATAAACCACCGCTTGGCTGGAGTTAAAATGATTTTTTTTTCCCCTTTTTAGCAGAGCATTGCTTTGTTTTCCATTAAAATCCTGAGATCAGGCTGAAATAAATGTTTATATGACTTGAATGTTTAGGAAGATGGGAGAAACAAAACAGCACGAAAGGACAGCAAAGTTGTAATTGTGCACCTGTTCAGGTGTCAGTGCTTGTGCCTGAATATAGATTTTAGCAAATAACTTTAAGGTTAGGGGAATAAATGTGGATTTCTTCAGAGGAAAAGGCAGGAACAGGTTTAAATTTAGGAGTTTGGTTGTAAAAATCACATTTAACAGGAGGGAGGAGGCAAAGCAAGAGATGGTTGTTTACAAAACTTCCTCTGGTTCCCATGAGAGGTGGAAACCAGCCGTGACTCAGGTGCTGAAAGCCTTGGAGTAGCACCTCCTAAAGATGTGGGAGAGGTTTGCAGATGCTTTATTTTAATGTCTTCTTTGTATTCTGACAAGTTTTAAGTTCAACCAGGGAGAAATCGTTGAGAGATTTGTGTTTGGGCCTTTCAGCAGCCTCACGCCGCTCGCGCGTCTGAGGAGAAATAAACTGAATTATGAGTTTAAAGAGTACATGAAACGCTCCCATAACACCCACCCACCTGTCCAAGTCCACCCACAGCGCCCAGGGATCTTCTCCAAACCCCTCCCTCCCTATCTGGGAGCTCTGGAGGCTCCAGGAATCCTTCCTTCTGCCAACTCCAGAGGAGCTCCCATCACCTTCTTCCACCTCCACATCCTCCCGAGCTTTTGTGGTGGATTATTGGGGCCCTGATGGCCAGGTGTCCAAAATCATGATCTTACCAACATCACCAACATCTGGGTTCTGTAGGATCTGTCCCGTGGAAGCAACAGATTCAACCAGAAATGTTTGGCAAGAAGTGGAATCATGAAAGCGGAACAGGAGGGAAACGTTTTATTTTTGGGGCAAATTCAGTTAAATTTCTTGTGAAAAGTGAAGATATTTGCTAGAGCAGCATAAAGGATTGTGCTTATATTTAGTTTTTAAAGCAAAATGCTGCTGTTGTGTAAACCAACCCAAGACTTGGTGACCCTTGTGGGTCCTTCCAGCTCGGGAGATCCCGTGAATCCGTATTTTCCTCCCTGAGCTCCCTTTCTTCCTTCCCACGCCCTGTCTGTGTTCCATTATTCCAGGAGCATGTATTCCGTGTGGAAATCCCTTTTGGAAGGCACCATGCAGGTGGCCCAGTCCCGGCTCAATATCTGTGAGAACTATAAAAACTTAATTTCAGAGCCAGCCAGGAGCGTCCGGTGCTTCAAGGAACAGCAGCTGAAAAAGGTATTTGTGCTCAAGAAATCCTTGAAATGGTGTCATTTTTATTTGAGAAAAAATGGTTATGAGAAATCTTTTAGTATTTTAAATCCTTAAATAATGTATGTGCTTCTCAGTCTCTTGTAAAAATAAATATCCAGCTTGTTGGAGAGGGATCAAAATGAGTTAATTTTAAGTATCCTGAGTTAAAACTACTTGGAAAACGAGGGTTTTAAAAATGTGAGACATTTTTAAATGTTGGTCAAATAAATCTCTGCAAATCTCACGTTGTGCTGTGGAACTTATATTAAATTGGGTTTGCATGGCAATTCCGAGTGGGTTTTGTCAGGATAAATTCTGATTTTAAGCAAAGATGTGTCTCAAACCTGAAGGAACGACTTGAGCAATCTGAAAGGTGTGGGGATTGCACAGCCACCTCCTGTCAGGGGATCCCAAGGAAATATTCCAGTTAAACTGTTCATCCCTGCAGAGGAAACAGTGTTCAAATAAGCTGAATATTCATTTAATTGCTTGTTGCATTTCAAAGCCATTTCTGAGGGTGGGGAGGCCTCGATTGCCCAGAGAACTGTGGCTGCCCCATCCCTGGAAGGGTTTTTTTGAGGAAAAATTAACTTTATTAACTTTATTAACGTTGTTTCCTTGTCCTGTGGAATTTTATTTTCCTGTGAAGTTTTCCAAACAATGCTGGAGCAATTTCATAGCATCTTAACTGGGTAAATAATCTTATTTTATTCTTCTGCAGGTGCTGTTAGTTCAGTGTTTCTGAGTCAGCAGTAAAAGTGGGACCTTTATATAAATCATAGAAGTTCCTTTTTTCCTGCACTTTTGAATCAGCAGAACAAGTTATTCCAATTGTCTGGTTCGAAGTATTCCACAATTTCCCTACAACATGGAATAACTATCCACTTGGTGGCATTAATTTCCCTCCACAAACAGTTTATTTTTTATACAATTCAGCCTTTGCTTTGAATTTCCAAACAGATAAATAATGGACAGATTAATAATTAATTAAACAATTGGTAATTATTAATTAATAATAATAAATAATTAAATAATTAATAATCACCCCGATCTCCATCCAGACAAAAAAGCTTTTCCAAATTAATGTTCCGAGTCAGTAAAACACTTGTGAGGTTACACTAAAATGACATCCAGTCTCCTGACAGTTTTTTTTATTCCCCAGGGATGCAAAAGCCAGATTGTTTTACTCTTCTTAAACGATTTTAACAACTGGGGTTATTTGATATTTTAATTTTTGATGCCACCAGGAGACTTCAGGGATCCAGATACCCACTGATGTGGCAAAACCCCCTTCTCACAGGCTCTTAGGTCTCTGTCAGCTGAACAATATATACAGATTTTTCTACCCTTCATTTCTCAGTTGTGCACACAAAGGATTAATGAATTAATAATTACATGGATTAATAATTTTATGCATTAACAATTCCGTGCATTAATAATTAGTGTAATGAAGATTAGCTGTTTGGGGGGGGTGTTCACTAAGAGGACAACCTGACTTGTTGGAAAGCTCTCAACATCCTTATTTTTAAAAAAAGAGCTCTTCAAATAATATATATAATAATATAAAAATAATGTAATAATACTCTAAAATTAATTACACTATAAAATTAATAATCCTTGCCATTGTGTTTTATGTGGCAGCTTTTCTCTCATGTTTGAAATTTTATAGAAGGAAAGATTAATCAGGGTTTTTTTTATCACCTCCAGCAGGTTGCCTTTGGATTTTTCCCAGTTGTATCCCAATTATTTCAAGTAATTACCTCATCCAGAGCTTTCAGAGCTTGAATTCGTGGGTTATCACTGATTTTGAACACTTGAAACAGCAGCAGAAAGAAAGGAAGAAAGTGGGTTTATGTTCTGATCAGCTTGAAAAGAGGGGAATAATTGACTTGGAAACTGTTTTAATCCTGAAAAGTAGTAAAATAAGGACGATGGTGTTATTTGGACAGAAAAAAAAATGGAATTTCTCTCTCCTGGCTGCTTTTTTTCAGTGCGTGGAGCAGCTGACAAGGATCCAAACTGAACTCCAGGAGACAGTGAAAGATTTAGCTAAAGGCAAAAAGAAATATTTTGAGACTGAACAGATGGCTCAGGCCGTGCGGGACAAAGCTGATATTGAGGCCAAGTATGTTTTTCTAATAACATATGTAGAAATAATTGCAGGTTTAAAAAGCCCAGTTCCATTAGTTTTTACACTTGAAATTTGCTTTTCAGTGAGCTTCCTGCCAGGTTTTTTTCCAGAGTAAATACAGGCAAAAATAGGGCTTGTTTTCTTTTCACAAAGAGATGTTTATCTGTAATTATAGATCATTTATT